AAAAAATGAAGGATACACGAACTAATGGCGCAGTCCAGTAAAAAAATCAATAATCGACGTGGCACCACTATTAGTGGCAAATGTTGTGACCCATCAACATAATTGTTTACATAACGATGATGGAATAAATCGGTGGTTGAAAGCTGATCGGTAAACTGCCGCCCAGTAGACGATAGACACGACCAAATGAAAACACAGAATACGACCTAGCAGCGTATGAAAGCGAAACTTTGGCGCAATGTGGAGCGAACTAGATTTGCTGATGATGACGGTAGCAAGCGCGCTATTGATGGGATAACAAAACGGATACGATTGGTCTCTGGTTAGAGCCTAATGAATTACATCTTGCATCAAAGAGGTCATTATAAACGTCGTCAAAAACAATAATAAAGCCCTCCCACAAATCAGAAAATAGCTATTCAATGATGCAATGTTGAAATGAAGGTAAAATTCCAAATAGGAAACGAATACGGGGGCGCATCCCGGAAAACAGGATTGATTAACACCGATAACATTATCTCTTTAATTCCAATTTATAATAATGTTGGGAATCGTAAAAAAAACCGTATACCACCCACTGCGACAATTAATAAACATATTCGCTCATTCGCTAACATTTTTCTTTTATATGCGTTATTTTATCGGCCATAACTCATACGACTGCAATTGTCATGGAAAAAATTAAATGTTAGTTTTATCTAAGGAAAGATGAGAAGAAATTGGCAAATAGAATGGGACGTATTTATACCATACTGAATCATAGCAAACAGAATATCAATTATCCTAAACAAGTCTTCGGACGAAAGAGCCAAGGAGTTTCAAATAATCGTTAAAATATCAGAAAAGAATTTCTCATCCGTTTTGGCTATCAAGCTTCAACCTATGGGCTGACTATGATTTTTATCAACTTTTGATCAAGTAGAAAAAACGATTTGTTAAACCTTTTCTTTTTGCCCTTGTATACGGTTCTACCACTTTACTACTAGTAAACCGTGCTATTGGTAGAATGAAGAAAGAGGAAAGCATCAACGTGAAAACTGAATACCTCCGACTGAAGGAGGGTTCAGAGTGAATAAGATGAAGGCCACCGAGAAGAGAGCAAATGCTGATGTCCAACAAAAGGACACAAACACTATGTCCGGACCTTGAATTAGGCCGTTCCATCACAGTCCTAGTAAAAAACTCCCGTACCAGGAGCTACACCTAGCCCAGCCAACCACCGCGAATGTCAATCAAAGAAATTCCCACCACTTCCCGTCGGCCAGCCTGTCTCGACGAACAACTTGCTCTTTTCGAAGCACTTTTCAAGGCATCGATCGCTGAACAGCAGATCCATGAGCAAAATTATGGAAACCAAGAGAAAAAATGAAAAATTTACAAAGGCGCAACACTCTAGAGGAACCATGTTTCCGTTCTCAGTAGTTTCATGGTAATACTTTCAGAGAATACGAGTTGTTCGCCTATATCGCGAGTATTGCTGATGCTAAAAACTTCTTCAACAGACCAACAACTTGAAGGGTCCTCACTCTTACGCTCAGCTCTCTGCTTGAAGCTGAACATCGCCATATTAAGACAGACGTCCACCTTTGCAGCGGGATATGCCGCTTAACTCCTTGGTCAGCGCGTTGATCAAATGTCTCCGAGCTTGCCATTGCTTTGAAAAGAGATAATCGTCCTCGCTATAGCCACCCCAAACCCAATCGGTATTTTTTTTTTCACAGAATAAATCTGGGATGGTCCTTTCCAAGTTCAACTTCGTCACTTCAACATTTAAACGAAATTCGATTGCTACCGTATTTGGACTGCTTCCCTTGCCCCACGAAAACCTTCACTTCCCGCTTTTATGAGAGTATTGTTCGGTACAATGTCGTATACGTCGTGAATCGTGCTGACGACTGCTGCGTTGACATAGACATGGCCACCAAAACCGCTTTAGAACGCGTCATTACACCAAATCGGAGGATTAAACAACTCTTGCTCGATGCGGCTTGATTTGCAAGAGAAAGAAATGATAATAAATCAATTCACAACGAGAACTGAATGGTGGCATTGTAATGGGGGAGTGGAAATTCAATACAACATGACCATGAAAACTGGAAAATCGAATGTCACACCGATTATGGACTGACTCGCTGTAATGGTGGACGGCTCTCACTGATTCGAATGATTTCTCAGTTACATAATCAACGCGGTCACTATAGCTGGGTGATTACTTTTCTTGAACGACTAAAGAGCTTTAGTACGAATATAAAAAAACCGATTAATTCCTCTAATTAAGGAAAGAATAAAAATGCCAGCCAAGCAATCAATATATACAAACAGAACTTTCTCTCCATCTAACCAAGTTCAAAACGAGTTACATCATTGAGAATTATTATAGCATTATTGTAACAATTACAGACTACCGTTTAGTAACAACTGGTGCCAGACTTCGATTTTACTGCCCAATCATGGAACAAAAAAAAACAATTGCAATGGAAACTCAAGTCCAATAAGGGATCCAAAAGATCTTGAGGAATGATATTCTCCAAGAAGCGCAGACGAAGAGCCTACTTTACCCTCCGATCCACGGCTTGCTCTGCCCAAAATTTAGACGGGCCCGCCCTTTTGACAAGTACATGAAGGAGGGAGCTCAACGAAAGATAAGCTGGAGTGCTTGATATAACCTTTTTTTTTCAAAGAGGAGCAGTAGCTGCACAAGCTTACAACTAGAAACGAACTTTTTACTCGTATATTTTTAATTTTATTAGAGAAAGAGGAGTACCCCGATTGGCAATATGAGGCAAAAAGGACCAGAATCGATTCGTACATGAAAAGCCAGTTGAAGTGAACTACAGACTCCATGCTAGCTCATCATCCACAATCAGAAGCTATCGAGGCTACTCGAAAAAAAAAA